TAAACTCGGATGGCCATGGCTCGAAAAGGGGCACAACTCGTTACGTAACCCTGGAGGACCGGTTAGAGCCTCTAGGAAAGAGAGTTGCGCCCAAAGCCCATTGTTGCCTCCAACTGCGCGGCGGCCTGGTCCGTGGCGGCAACAACAACAACAACAACAACTACAACTGCACGAGCGTGCTCCGCGCTTGGCGGGCGCCAACAACAACAACCACAACAACAACAATAATAATAATATTACAAGTTGGAAAAAAGATAAGATCACCTCTGACTTCAGGAGTTCTGAGCTTCAGGGCCACAAAGCAGCCGCCGACACTTGGAGTCACGGTGTGAAAGCATCGAACAGTTCAGGCTGTGGCCTTTTTGCTGAGCAAGGTGTTGGGGCAGAGCATAAAATGATGACATGGGGACTACAAGGAGCAGGCTAGAATTAATTATTTATTAGAGCTTTAGAAGGATGCCCAGGCAATCAACCCTGAACCCCCGGGCTTCGAGACATAGCGCCAGGAGATACTGTTATCTTCATATCGTCGAGATGAAATGGCATGAGGTTGAGTTGTGTCTGAAAGGCTGTTGCCCCCCTCCCTACAAAATTAACATGAATATCCCGCAAAGATCCCTCATCCTCAAGCGTACAAAATAGGGTTTAACTATAGTATCCCCATATAACATCCCATGTACACAATAACTGGTGTAACTGTGTGTATATATATATATATATATATGTGTGTGTGTGTGTGTGTATATATATGTATATATCAGGCTGAGGGGCTTGGGGTTTGGAGTTGCAGTGGACATGCGAGCATGGAGCCTGAAAATCATTGAGCGACCAGGGCCATCCTAGACTCCCTGTCTGCCGAGGGTTTTGGGTTTTGGGTTTAGGGTCTGAGGGTTTAGGGTTCAGGAGCCATGCGACCACGATATGGTAATGCCAAGAAGTTTGGCGAATCGCCTCGAGCACGGAAAAATGATTCGTGTCGCAGCTTCTATGCTCTATCTGCGTCAACATGGCTCCACAACCCCGAAGTACCGAACTCGCAAACCCTGACCCTCTGTCCCCTACAATCCTATACAAACCCAAACCCTTTCAAGCCTCAAGATTCACTAGCCGTTGGCCCACTGTCGCCTTCGCTCCCATCCGCAACGTCGAAACACAAAGAGCCTTGCGTTGTGTGGGACACCGTAACACCCTGACTACTGACGCAACAAAATGCAGATCTTCTGTTCGAGTCCAGGATTTACGGTGTGGAAGGCTTCCAGGTCTAGTTGAGGCTTTCGGCTTGGGGCTTTACGCTAATGGTGGGCAAAGTATCCCGCTCATGGCTTAGGACTCAGGCTTTAGGAGGATGCAGGGCTTAGGGTGCTAGGGTGTGCAGGGTCTAGGGCATTAGGGAGCCCATTTGCGCCACAAGACACTCCCAGTCAAGGAAGCCCGCAGAACCTTTTTTATTGAGAGTTAAGGCTCAGATCCTGGGGTTTGAGGTTGCTTTAGAATAGAGGGCTTTGGGCTTTTAGGTTGGCGGTTTGGGGCGTCAGGGGAAGAGTGCCAGACTGAATTCTCCGTCGTGCTTAACAGATTCGTTGAGGGTGCCATGCCTTCGACATGTTTGAGGCACTATCAGTCAATTCCTATTGCTGCGAAAACATCATTTGCCAAAACCCTAAGCCCCAAAAGGAAGCAAGGCCTGCAAGTGAAGTGGCCTTCTTTTCACAGGGTAGCGGTCCGAGGTCTGATTTAAGCACCACTAAACCCCAAACCCGACTTCCACCAAATACCTAAGCTAAACCTTTCAAAACGCCAAGGCATTGGCCAACAAGAAAGGCGGCAGCAGGTTCACCAGCAGCGGCACGAGAGGCGCCTGCGACAAGCGTCTGATCTTTCAAGCATGAGGTAATGGGAGCCCAGCAAGCACTCAAACACTGAAACTGTCCAAGCCTTACGCGGCCCCAACAGCCTACTCCAGATTCTGAAGCCATGAGCACCAAACCTCCAAACCCCAAAGCCTGAATCCCAAAACCTGGGCCACCAAACCTCAACCATGGACCACCCCACCAACTAGTAAAAGTATTCCATAATCGCCTCCATACAGTGTCATATAGCCAAAAGACCGTAAACCCCAAACCCTGAACCCTAGAGCCTAGTGGCAAGTTCTCCTCCGAATCTGGCTCAAGATGCCTGCAGCGTGTCCGCGGCATGCAGGCCTATGAGAGCGGAGCCTCCAACTGGAGCCGCTTCAGGAACTCTAGAGCTTAGGGTTTAGGGTCTTTTTTTTTTGAACTCCTTTTTCCAAAGCCCGAAGGTCTTCGAAAGGCAGATACAGCCAGGACTGAGGGCCACTTTACGTCCCTCAGGGAAAAGACATTCACCAACCAGTCTCCTCATTCAGCCTCAGACCACAGCATCATCTTTGGTCGGCAAACAAACTACACTATCCGGCACCTCGACAATCACATCCGGGGAACTACCGCCTGGACTCAGCATAGGGTTTAGGGTCTAGGGTCCAGGGTTTTGGAACTTTGGGGCTTAGGAGTCTAATGGACAAGATTCGATTCAGGGTTCTCTCTTAAGAGTTCTACAAGGCGTGTACTCTACGTGCGGCAGGCAACAGAGCTGGGTTTCGGGTGTATGAAGGTAATATGCTTTAGGGACCAGATGGGATATTCTCAGACCTCTATATCCTCTATGTTAGGGCTCCTTGTTTCGATGGCTCCGGGTTTAGGGTTCTTCCTATGTACTACGGGCGTAGATAAACTTTGTTAAGGTTAGAGGACTCAGAGTTCAGGGTTGAGGGTGTTGGGGCTCAGTGTTGAGGATTTTTACGACGCCAAACCCGAAACCCAGCCCATCCAAAACTACCACCAGTAGCTTCAGAACTAGCGTTCTGTGCTGGAGAAAAGGGTATAAGTGAACGCAATTTCCTGCATCATTCCCACAAGAACCAGATGAGGTCCCCCTTCGACGGCTCCACGATGAACCCACCTAAGCCTCTCTGAGAATTAAGGAGCTCTTGTGGAGTTGGCAGCAGAGAAACTATTTCATGTCAAACATTGTCACATAGATGCTGTCAATACAAACGCAAATACGACATACGTATATACACACACACATATATATATATACATATATATATATATATACCTGTACACAAAAACTTCCACTTCACATGTGTGTGTGTGTATAGATAGATATATATATATATATATATGCAGACACGCACACACACACACACACAACCACACACACACACACACGCACACACACACACACACACCCACGCACGCACGCACCCACGCACGCAAACGCACACGTGCAGCGTAGCAACCCTAACACTTCCAAGCCATTACCCTGCAGGCCTAAAGCCCCAAGACGCTAAATGCCCACAGAAAGACCTAAACCTTAAATCTGAAGCCACGTAAACCCGCACCGTGAATGTGCCACAATATACAGAAGCCCTTAAACCCTAAGCCCGTTACTCTCCGATACCCAACATTACCTGTTGGAACTCACAACAATGTCAAGTCAACCTCTTGTGGGGAAGGAAGCCATGTCTTGAAGCCCAAACGCAAGGACAACCCTATAGCCTCAGACACCCTTTGGACAACCCTTGAAACCCTAAAACCTTATCCATCAACCCTACATCTAGAACTCGTGCGCCCCTCCCTGAACCCGACCCCCAGACTTCAAGGCCTTACACCCCAAATGCCCTATCAAAAAAACTCTAACCCTAAACCCTAAACCCTAAACCCTAGGCCCTAAGCCGTAGTAAAACCCCGTAAACCCCAAATCCCCTGAACAGAAGCCCTCGCAAAACCTTTCTCGGACCCTTTGTGCATAACTCTTTTTATAGAGCCCCTCCACCTAAAGCAAGAGAAAAGAAACCTCCAGCAGAAAGGAAGGCGGCCGCGACCTCCCGAGGATAAGGTCGGGATTTGCTGGGCTTTGCTCATAGAAAGGTAGGATTCTCTAGGGTATTCGGGCATCAAGGGGCTTAGGGCTTTTGGAGGGTTTACATTGAAGGTCTGGGGTTGCGTTTGGGTCCCAGGGTTTAGGGTTTGTGGAGTGTCGCGCGTAGGGTTTGAAGCTTTTCGGGTTGCTTATTGGTCTTGTGACTGTTGGGGTGGGTGGACCCTGCATGGGCATGCAGCCGTTGGCGAACTTCAGGACGGGTGGGTTAAGGCCTTGTCGGGTTTCTTGCTTGCGAGTTTTCGGGCCCTTTCGGGGGCTAGAAACCAAGTCTTATGAGTCATCGCTTTATGCTTTGAATATGTTGAAATTGGAATTTGACCTCGCAAGTTTTCTGAATGGGCTCCAAGCCCCAAGGCTGTGAATTCTCCTCCAGACCACACGCGTTGCAAGACTGTTTGAGCCTGTGCTTGCTTGCGGAAGAAATGTTAGTGCGTTGGGAGGCCCTGCATTAACCTACGCCGGTTTGAGACGCTTAAAACACCTTGATAGCCTTTAGAACGTCCCAACCGCCGATTCCTTCCAATCCCACACCTCACCCCTCAAAGCTCAAAATGCTTTCGCAGCCCTACACCCTACAAATCCCTATACACCCGTGTCACCCTGTATAAACCCCTATGAACCGCAGTAGACCCTCAAAACCGCAAAAACCGGGGGCCTCGAGCAGACCCAGATCCTCCTGGTTGACTACCTCGGCCAATAGGATGGTCCTCGGCGCGGCGCCGGGGATCCGGCTTCAAAGGGGGCAGGGGCAGAGGGATGAAAGGATGGAGGATTTACAGATGGTTTAAGGTTTGAAGTTTGAGTGCCTGGAAGCCTGTGTTTGCCTCCGATCATCAGTCAAGTCCAACCACTGACTGCTCATGCAAACTGCAACCATAAAGTCCTGAAGCCCGGACTGGCGAGACCCCAAACTCCCGTGCTTGTCCCAAGACAATCAAGCCTACATCCGTGAAAGCACGAACTTCGAGACCTCAACCTGCATGTCGCAAACAGGAAAAACGCTAAACCCTCGATGAGGTCGCAACCAGATCACGTCCGTTGACTGCAAGAGCAGATGGACACCCGTGGGCACCAGCTGAAGCCTCGGGACAATTCCGGATACTCAACCAGTATGTAGTGGCATACACCAGACAAGTACCTTGTGGTCTGCGTGTATACATTATAAGTATAACCATATACAAATATGCTCGCAAAACCCATGTATAAACAGAGCAGATGTATACATGAATCTAAGCAGTTGCGGACATGTCATACATTCAACTGCTTACAGTGTACGAGGTATGCGAATGTATCTGTATATATATATATATATATATATGTGTGCGTGTGTGTGTGTGTGTATGTATGCATAAAGGCATGCATGGCTGTCTGTCCCTCTGTATGTGTGTATGTACGTATGTATGTACGTATGTATGTGTGCACGTGTGTATGTATGTATGCATGCGTGTGTGTGTATATATATATATATGGTGTGTATATATATATATATGTGTATGCTGTATATAGGCACGTATGTACATGCTTACAAAATAAGATCTACACATCCTCTGTCCGTATATCTCTCAATGTTTCTGCTTATCTTTCTATATATTTATTTATCTATACATATATACATCTATATACCTATATATGTATATATATATATATACATCTATACATCTGTATATCTATACACCTATATATCTACAGATCTATACTATATATCTGTATATCTATATATCCATATATCTATATAATTATGTATCTATATTTCTATATACCTAACTCTCTATCGATCTATCTACCTACCTATTTGTCTATCTACCTACTCAATCTTTAACGTAATCTCATCGCAGCTCATCTAATCGAAACCAGCTTCATCTACCGAACCTATGTAACCCAATCTGATCTCTAAACTTTTACAATCTAATTAGCCAATCTATCTGGTCGATCTAGCCGCTGAATCAATCTAACCTGTGTTATCTGATCGTTTTAAACCTATCCTAATCTATCTATCCATGCGTCTATCCATCCATCTATCCATCCTGCTTTACCCATTCATCCGTCCAGATATTTATCGATCTATCAATACCAACGTCTATATATATATATATGTACACATACATACATGCATACTTGAGAAGAGGGCCAGGGCAAACGAACCCGACAAACTCGATATTGCAGGCTCGGCAGGGTCCCCGAGACTTCCACCCGCCACTAACTTTCCTACGCAGCCCTACATCCATGTTCAACTAACATAAACACACAACCCAACTCTCAGCATATCCACAACCCTGCACCCCGAATCCCTAAACTTTGAACCCTGCGTCCTACACCCCCCCCCCCCCCCCCCCCACACCTTAAGTCCCAAACCTCCCAGACCCTGAATACCCGGCTTCCCAGGCATGTCAGTTGGATTTCGAGACCGACCGAGCTCGTTTTTTGAGGTGTCAGTTGTGAGGGTGTCAGGCTCAGGATTTGGATCCAGGGTTTGCAGTTAGACATCGTGGGTTCGTCGTTTCGGATTCAAAGGTCAGGGTTTCGGATCTGCGTGATTTAGCGTTGGTGTTTAGGATTTAGAGTCAGAGTTTCGGTTAGGATGTCGGGTTCGGGATTTCGCATTGGGGCTGGAACTCGGCTTCTTTCTACCAACGCTTTCGTCTTGGACAAAAAGGCGGGCGGGGGGGTTGCAAGCCTAAAAGGCAGAATCGGAAAGTTGGTGCCATAACCTTAAACTAAAAGACTATAAACCCTATACCCAACCATAAGGACCGCAATCAAACCAAGGTTTGGGTGGTTTCGGGGCAAGCTATTCCAACCATTCAGACATTAAAGCGTTCTCCGACGAACTCAGTTTGACAAGTCGACTTCAGGCTTGTTTTGGTAAAGTAGTTGGAGACTCAGCACATCATAGAAAAAGGCAACCTTCGCCAAGAGACGTTGTAGGGAAGCCTGAACCTGACACACCTTCCACATTTCTGGCGAGATAGAACTGAACTTTCGCAAGCCGCCATGTAGGCTGGCCGCAGCTCGCTCATTGCAGCCATTGCCCACCCGTGCTGTTGTCAGCGATGCTTCTAGCATCCGAAACCCTGGACCTTCAGGCTTTGGGTCTTGCGTTTCGGGCTTTGAAGCTTTAGGCTTTAAGGCCTCGCACTTGCAAATAGCACCCGTGAGCTTGTGTCCATGGAGGCGGATTGACGAGGAGTGAGGGCTGGGCTCTTAGGATACAGGATTCTCAAACTCTACGGGTTTTGGGTTTAAGGCTTGGGGTCACAGATCGGGCTCAGAGTAACTTAAGGGTTTAGGCGGCTTCAGGGTTTTGAGAGCTGAAGGAAGTCAGGGTCCCAAATTGTCAACAAATCCTCAGTTCCACGAACGGCTCTGGATTTGGGCCAAGCCGATTGAGCCTCTGCCACCAAGCCCCCATCCTAAAACCGAAACCCTAAACCCTGCAAAGCGAAAAGACAAAGCCCTCAACCCTGTTGGTGGCTCACTTGCGGGATCGTGCCTAAGGCCCGAAACTCCAAAGAGTTCGATTAAAGCTGGGCTTCAGATCACTGAGATACTGGCCCCCAGTTCGTGACACCATATTTCAGCCCGAAGAGGACGCCAACAGGGGCGATGTGGCGGAGCTTGTACCTGTCGGGTTCTGGGGCTCGGGCTGTCGGGTTCACACACCAGGGCGTTTGGGTTCGGGGGCTTGGGAGCTTAAGGGCTCACTGGTTCAGCTCCGGCATTTGGCATTAAGGTTTACCGGGTTCGTTGCATTTCGGCAGAACGCTCTCGGCGCGCTATTGTGGCCCTCATGGACGCTGATATTGTGGCTCTAGGCTGATGCAAAACGACTCAAGTCTTAGGATTAACTTGCTGCTGACAGCATGTTGTGTTTCACCCGTCCCATTGCTTACTGGCACTTTGCAGCAACCCTAAACCCTACACTACACGTGAATCCAAGTGGAGTCGGAACGAAGTGCTAGAATCTGGGTGGTGTGCAATCAAATCTAACACGACCATGGACCATGGAGCGGATAGGATCGTGAGGTCGAGATTTTGAGCCGCTGCAGGTTAAGCTAGCTTACTGGCTGATCGGCCAGGAATCAGTGTCTATCACTTGAAGTTTAAGCCTCAGGGTTTGGAGATGGGTTCCCTTAACTCCTAAACCCCAAGCCCCTAAACCGAATCGGGTGGCAGCTGTTTTTGCGAGATTGTCGGATCCATCTTTGCTGCTTGCACCTGGAGAGTTAAGGGGGTCGCAGAGGAAACTAGGGTTACAACCGCCGGTGTCTACCAGTTTAGGATCGTATGCAAATCGGTCCTTGATCCCGCGAATGCCCCCCCGACCCTAAACCCCAAAAAATACTGCGAAGCCTTTCTGAATCCTCTCATGCATTCTTCAAGCACCCTCAGTTCGAGTACGGCACATAATACATCCCCTTCTAAATACCCAAGCCCTGAAACTCCCTGCAAAGCCCGTATCAGCTTCTTACAGCTACCCCTATTTCGTTAGATCCTATAAAAAGCCGATGGCCTGAAATGAGGTCCAAAAATCCAGGACTTGGAACGGTCGCAAACGAAATGCCTTCAAGCTAAGGGAATTTGCGGGATTTTGGGCTTGGGGTGCAAGGTTTAGAGTTTAGGGTTTAGGGGATTTCGGGTTTAGGATTCAGGGCCTGGGGCTTAGAGTTCCGGCTTTGTTTGAAGCATGTTGAAACCTTTCATTCTGAGGGTAAGACCTAGAACCTAGAAACCTAAACCCTAAACCCTAACGCTTCAGGTTGGGATTCAAGGTCTTCGGGTTGAGAATGTTAGGCGACGGAGCTTCGGGAAAAGGGTTCTGGGCGTTGCGGTCGCTTGCTTTTACTCGCGCCGTTGTGTAAAGCCACCCCACCACCACCGATGCTCCGACACACCTAACCGGAGCCAGGCAGAACCCAAGTCAAGCCGCAATGGGAATGCTACCTGTCCCCCGGACAAGGCACATCCAGGTTTTGCGTGTTGCAACTGAACTAGAACAAGCGCAAGCACACAAACAATAATAAAACATAGTCATCATGACCATAATCAGAAGAATAATAACAATGATAGTGATGATGACGAAACGTAAACCCACTGACAACAACAATCGCAGTAATACTAATGATAAGTACTGTTACTAATATTGTCAATCTTACAGTTGCTGCAAGAGTAATAAAGCTTTAACAAAAATGATTCATTCGAACACTGCTGGCCGGTAGCTCTCGCATCACGGGGTTTCAAGTTTCGGGTTTCGGGTTCAGGGGGCCTGAAGACTGAGGCTTGGTTTCTACGCAGTTGTGTGCCATAAACATCAGCACTTAGGATCTCGGGGTTTCGGGCTTCCCTTTTGAGTTTGGGGATTCGGGATTTAGGGTCTATAGGGTTTAGGGTTTAGGGGCTTTGGGTTTGGGGTTTGCAGGTTCCGGGGTCTCGGCAACCCAAACGTATCGAAAGTTTACACAGCACCTTCTGACGTACCTTTAAAGTACCGTGCTACGCCCTAGGAAGCCGCCGTAAACCGTAAACCCTACTCTACAAATTCAGCTGCCACGTTCTGGGGTCGGAGCCCGAAGATGTTGACCACGCCAAGCACCGTGGAGACTAAGAGAAGCCTCGATGCCCAAAACTCTGAAGATGGCCTAGGGTTCGGGATTTAGGATTTTAGGGGACTGGGGCTCAGGATTATAAAAGGTCTAAGGTTTAGTTACGGGGCAAAACCCAATAACAGCCCAAGTGATGACTGACTATATCTTGATCACAAGGTACACCCTAAACCCTAAACCCCAAAAACCCCCAAAACCCCCCAAACCCCCAAAACCCCTACACCCAACCCTGAACCCTACACCCCTAAACCCTCATCCCTAAGCTCTCTTGGGTCTCAGGCTTTCGGGCTCTCGGAAATCTGGTCACAGTCCTCCGTTCTTGTCACTGCCAGTACCTTGCGGATGGCCCCTAGGCCGAAATCGTAAATCCTTGAACCGTAAGGCCCTAGATCCTAAACCCCGAACCTTAAATCCTGAAGCCCCTAAACCCTCAATCCCAAACCCTCCACTCCCGAAACAACATGATCATCCTTCCCTGTTCCCATGTTACCCCGAAGCTCCTGAGCTAAATCTCGGAAATCTCCCCGACACGCCCTAAAACCCAACCTCTCAAACTCCAAAACCTGGAACCCTAAACGGTGTGTATGGTTTAGGACTGTCACCAAACTCGAAGCTCCACAGCATGAACACCTCAGCCACTATGGCTCTGTACTGAAATTGACAGTTACTCGCTTCCGCTACTTATTAAACCCCGTTGTTAATAAAAAGCTCTTTCCCGGTAAATCTCCCTGAAATCACCCCACCTTTTTAAAACCTTATTGAATTAGGGGATGTAAGAGCAGGAGCGAAAGCAGGAGCAACAGCAAGAAGCAAGAGCCAGAGCCGCAGCAGGAGCACGAGCAGCCGCAAAAGCAGGAGCACCAGCAAGAGCACCGAAAGGAGCAGGAGCAACAGTAAAAGCCGCAGCCGGAGCCAGCAAGAGCCACAAACGGTGAACCCCAAAACCCCTGCAGTAGGACCTCTAACACGCCAAACCCCAAACCCTACGAGCCTTAAAGCTACAACGACAAAGACACTTCTGTAGGCCCCCGGGCTGAAGGAAGGCCGTGGCCATCGGGTAGGGAAACTTCCTGGTAGCCACTTTCGGGCTGGACGGCTTCGAGTTTAGGGTTTAGGGCTTAGGGTTTAGGCCATAATTTGTGGGGTTTTACAGGGCTTGTGCGAAATGGATTCTACGCGGCTTCAACAAGAAGTGTGCGGCTGCAGGACTCAGGCTTTAGCACTTTAGAGCCTGTAGGGTTTCGGCCTAAACCCTAAACCCGGCAAACTCTCTCAACCTTGTCAGCCATAAACTCTTCCCAGCCCTCAATCCTGCAAAGGTAAAGCCTACGATCCCTCAACCCCAACACCTAAATCCGGCCCCCAAAAAAAATGAAGCCCGGCACGAAAGAAAAGTTGGCAGCCGAAAGCCCTGACACCAAAACACACAGCCACTAAACTCTGAATCCTAACCCAAAAAACCTGAAGCCCCTAAACCCTACCTGACAAACCTGACACCCACAATCTTGGAGCTTCTAAACACATACCCCTACATCCTGAAACCCTAAGCTCTTCCCTAAACCTAAAACTCCTAAACCCTATACCCCTAGCCTCGAGCCTCCCTTCAACCCCAAACTCGTCTATGCCCTGAGGCCCTGAACCCTAAAAAAAAAAATTGACAGCCGGAATCCCCAGGCATGGAATCTAGTTGAAACCAGGACCTCTCGGTGGTGCGGTGGCCCTTATGTTAAGGACCCGGCTTTTTCGGGCTTACACTGGAGTCCCTTATTCTCGGAAACCGCCATGTCGGTGGTCGTGGCTCCAGGGCTTGGGTATACTGGGCTCCCTGCTTCTTAGGTGCCTGAAAGGAACCTCCAATCCTTCATCCTTCGGAAAAATGCAGACTTGGATCCTTTAAACTTGAACCCTTGGGGTCTAGGATTTAGGGTTTACGATTTAATGTTTCGGGTTCAGGGTTTAGGCATTAAGGCAAGGTCTAGGGCTTTGGGTTTAGGGTTCAGGGCTTAGTTTAGGGTTTAGGGCTAAGGCACCTGCCTGAGACAGTGGTCGCCCTCACAAACACCAGTGGCAAAGACCAGCTTGTTGTAGATTGGAACGGCGGACACCTCGCTAGGGCTTACGGGGTCGGGCCCCGGGTTCGCGGCTTCGGGCTTTTAATGGTGGCTTCGCTGTTGCTGACCATTCTTTATAGAAGCTGGCATGCCGGGTAGAGGACTCAACTTGCTGTAGACCTTGGCATCGAAACCCTATCTCCGCCTTCCCTGCAGAAAAAAAATGTTTGCTTCCTTCCCAGGCTCTACGACAGAACCCCGGCCCTGGACTGCCCTAGACAGCCCCTGAACCCAAACTCAAGACAATACATGGCTCAAGGCTTTGGGATCCTTCAACCTGATCGAGACCTTTAGGCTGAATAAAAGTCCTCGACCGCGGCTCCCCTCACAGGTGTTAGGTTTCTGCCTTCGGGGTGCCAGCAAGTCCTGACTCCCTTTCTGACACCCTTACAGTCCTGCTGTGACTCCTACAGAACTCTGGATTCGGCTCGGCGGCGCTATGTCCCCACATGTCGAAAGCCCTTTCCTACTATGGTTGGGAGATTGTTGCTGTGCAAGCTGGAAAAGTCTTTTCATGTGTAACTGGTGACCCGAAACCCGACCCTCCCAGTGAAAGCCGGGACTCCCGGCAGAGAGGCAAAAAATTATCGTGGCAAGCGCCACTTTGAATGCTTTCAGACGCCACAGTGGACTCGCAAAGGGACAGCGGCTGGGGGGGGGCTCGGGTCTCGAGCGGTTTGGGGTGTGCCGGGCTTTCAAGGCTTCAGCATTCAGGAGGCCAAACTTTGGGGATACCTTTCAGATCAAAGTCGAAGCCTGAAACTGCTAAAAACCCTAGGAGCCACCGGATCCATAGACAACGCCCACGCCCCCCCGAGTCTAGAAGACCCATCTCGGTCCGAAAGCGAGCTGGATGCAGACCCTACATTTCGAGGACCCCTCTTCTATCCAGCCCGGGATAGGAAACAGGGCCCTCACAAGAGAAGGGACACAGCCTAACAACGGAGCCCTTCAAAACTAGAACAAGGTTTCGAAGTCTATCATCGTCTAATTCTGTAGGGACCAAAAGCGGGTACTGCTTAATTACTCGGGCCACTATATTAGGAACCAACCTGCCGAAAGCCTAAAACCATTAAAAACTACAGCCCCAAAAGCAGTATGAACGGCTTACAGGCTTCATGGGGCTTTCGTGGGGTTTAAGGGTTTCCGTTTCTGTGCAACTGCATAGGTTTGTTAGCTTGGAAGTAATTTATTATCGCAATTTTTCCACCGCTTCTCGACACAGCCCTGAACTCTAGAAGTCTAGCTAGGCCGCACAACTAGAGCAAAAATTCCCGCTGTAAAAACAGACGCGCTAAGCCCTTATCTATAAAGGACCAGAAGGGCTCCATTCAAGGCTATGCGGGAATCCTAGTCCCCTCACCTCGAAGCCTCATCTTTGAATGCGTGCGACCCATCCTTTGAGCACATAGCATTTTGCAAATAACACGCTTTCCTCAGGGTTTAGGGTTTAGGGTGTTAGGTACCTTAGTGTAGCTTCGTTGACAAGAACCGAGGCTCCTTCCGCTCCTGCACAACTGAATCGAGCCTTTAAACATATAATGCCCCACGTCAGGTATGGCTTGTTGTCCTTGTTGCCCTGGCTCTAAACCCTCACATCCTGAATCCGAGAACTGAAACTCGAATCCCAAACTCTAACTCCTCGCAAGACTTCAAGAGCGACTCCCCTCCTGCCGTTGGCATCAGCACCATCCAAGAGTGAGAGCTGGGCCATGATGCCACAAAATAACACGCTACCACAGGTGACAAAAGGGAAGCTGGTGAGTAGCGTATGTGGAGGCGGAGGGGTAGGGTCTGAGGCTGCAGACTTTAGGGAGAGGTGTGTAGGGTTCAAGGGTTTGGATTCCTTCTCTTGCATTTGGGGGTTGTGGGCTCAACAAGCTCACCGTTTACAAGTCTAGAGCCAGGTGAGCTCACAGGCGCCACAACGACGCTTGCTTTCGATGTTGCTGGCTTTAAGGCCGTGCTACACGATCATTGCAGCAATGTTGCGATAGCGACGCTTGCCATTTGTCAAACTACTAGTAGCGAGAATTCACATCATGCCCACCACCATTGCTACAAGTAGTGCTACTGTTACATACTCTGATTTCGCTGCTTTCGGTTATTTCGGGATCTCCGGCAGAATACAAAATATGGTGTACCGTACCATGTTAATTATTGTCTGGTATGCTAGGCTATTTTACATTAGATGTACACAGTCTGGAGATACCTGCAAGACTCAACAATCTGAAGCGAGACACGGTTCAAAGAATAGGTTCAGGTCCAGGGTTTAGGGGTTTTTTTTTTTTGAACGCCTTTTTCCTCCTGCCGGAGCATCCCACAGGGTTTAGGGTTTAGGGTTTAGGGTTTAGGGTTTAGGGTTTAGGGTTTAGGGGGTCTAAGGCTCACCTTCCAGCCCTAAGCCCAAGGGATCTCTAGACGCGGAGTAATACCCTGCACCCTGGACCTGAACCTAACTTCAAACCCCAAAACACCCCAAAACTGCAAACCCTAAGCGAACCAAAAGTCAAGCCTCTATATATATATATATATATATGTATACTATAAACCATAAACCCTACTTTGAAGCAGCCGCTCTGTGCTGATGACCTGAATACCTAGTGCCCTGGCTATTTCGCTTTCACAGTCCGTAACATTTACAGTGCAGAGGACTAGTTGGCATCTTGTGCATGAGGAGCCGGTCTGATAGGTCAGCATTTTCTGATGTCCATGCAACCCACCCTTGCAAATCAGAAACGCTAAATTCCCTAAAACCATAATTCCAAACAGAATGACCGGTCAATCGTACCCTAAACCAAGGAACCCCAAACCCAAAAACTCAAAAGCGTTAACCCTCCCCTGAACCGCAAACCTCTTGACCTCCTGAATCCAGCGCGTTCACACGACATTTCCAGTGGCAAACAACTCCGCTCTTCCGTCAGAAAGGCTGTGCGCCGGCCGTGCTGTTGGCCACCTGTCAGGATGCTATCCCAGAGAGCGGTTTCAGGTTTAGGAGGGTTTAGTGGTTAGGACTTCGGGTGTTAAAGGGTTTTAGGCTCCAGGGATTATGGATTAGGGGGTTTGCTGTTGTGGGCTTCTGCGGCTTAGGGCCTAGGGTGTTTCAGGCGTATAGCTGTAAGGCCCTGTACTCCAGAGTAAAGCACTAGCAGTGATGTATGACTAATCGAAATTTTGGGGGCATTCAACGGCCTTTGCGGGCTAAAGGCTTGAAACCTACCTGCCATGGTCCTGGCACATCCTGTGCACTGCAAAAGCATATCTCTTACTTGGATCACAAGTCTTGGGGTTCATGGGTTCTTTCAGTTAATTTCTGCGGTAGAAGCTGCTGGTTTCTCTTATTACTGCTTTTCTTCTTCTTCTTCTTCGCCGTGGGGTTCCCGGCGCAGGATGCTGGCTTGATGGACCAGAAAGTTCCAGAGTTCGTCGCCCGGAGATTTTGCACAGCAGCTTTATCCAAAAACAGGTTGCTTTTGCCCGTCGGCTACATACCGCAGACTCCTGAGACCTCACTCTCAGCACGACAGCCGAAGAAGCCAGAAGCAGCGAACCGACGCACGTTCGGCACACCTCGCTGCTGTCGACCAGCGACGCGGCCGCCTCCTGCGCGAGATGCTCATGAGGTCTGCTTTCTTGTAGGGTCTTGACATCAAGGCGGGTGTCGGGGTCTACAGAAAGGTGGATTATGGTAGATTTGGATAGACTTCGGGGATGAGGTTCTAGGATGCGATGGTGGTTACATGACGTTGGACGTGATGAGGGCTCGGTGCTGACAGAGTATGTGGGCTTCGGGCTTTGGGCTCAGCCTTTGGGGTTTAGGGCTGAGGGTTTCGGGCTTAGGTTTGGTGTCCAGGGTTTAGCCCTTAGGCCTCAGGGTTGAGGGTAGACTCCGGGTAGACCTGTTTACGAACGGCAGGTCCTTGCTTTGCTTGCTCTCAATCTGGGATTTTGCTTGGAAACTGAAGATGTTGTCATTGATTGTGGTGTTGTGGCGAGAACTGTAGTGGGTTCCCCAGTCATGGCATGTGAACTTGCCCCGAAAGACCGCTTCCCCACGTAGAGTGCATTCTGTGGTGTGCGGTCTTGGCCTTTATCTCACGACGACTTCTGGCTCTAAAATATTGTCTCATGCACATGCCTTCTGTCAATATACTGTCTAGTTGACACAGAGATCTCTGTCCTCTCACATGGTTCTACGTGTACTTCACGCTCTGAGTCTTGCGATTTTCTCACGAGGCTCCAGGTTATTCTTTGCGCATCTACGTTTCCAGCCCATCAAGACTTCCCCGCTTTCATGCAAAACCGCAGCCCAGCCCTGCAGCCGTTGTCATTGGTTTATCCTTCGCTCTCAAGAGACCGCGGACGCAGACTGCCCAAAAATGTCTCGGCCCCTTGACAAACAGACGGCAACTTGAGGGCAAAAGCTTTAACGCGGATGTGCATCAAGAATGAAAGGGTGCTGGCGACATCTTCTAGGCTGCACAAGCACCATTTCTTTGCGCATCGCGCTGTTAATATTGTATTCAACCTCTCGTCCTGCACCGTACCTTCAATCCTAATCTTAGACGGCGCTTTTGCTGCAAAAGTCTCCAAAACCCTACACCAAAAAGACTGCACCCGACCAACCTCCCGCGCGGGCGAAGGTCCAGCCATCGGCACGCAGCGGTAGAGGACCTGAACGCTCAATAGCAACAACGACGTGTGAAGGAAGAGCGACGTTACCGTGCCTGGGATTCCAAGGTTTCAGTTAGGGGATTGTACCCCCACTACGGCCCACACACTGGGCTTAAGGATTTGGCACTTCGGGCGTGGGACTGGGGGTCTAGGCCTTATAGGGTTTAAGGTTTAGAGTTTAGGATATTTTGGGGCCTAGGGTAGGTCTTCGAGTCCAGGGTGCAGACTTTTTGGTTTAGAGCTGAGGCTTCCTGGGATCCCAGACTGCCCAACCTCCCCGAACCAAAACCCGAAACAGTTTAAGGCTTAGGGCTGCTTAAGGGCTTGCGGCTTAGGATTTAGGAACTTTGCGTTTAGGTTCCCCACCAACCAAAGAGGTCGGGCGGCAATGAAGAAGGCCGAAATGTGCAGTGCCCACCAACCAAAGAGGTCGGGCGGCAATAAAGAAGGCCGAAATGTGCAGTGCCAGGAAGATGAAAGCCACAATCCTTGCGGGCCAGGTCTAGGATTTCAGGCTTAGGGTTTAGGGTGTAGGGTTTAGGGCAACGGGCCTGGGGTTGGAAAGGGGTCTTAAGAATAATCATAGCATCATAGCATCCCATGTCGCCCCCATTCACGCAAAGCACTGTTTTATTGCTAAGGCCGCTACGTTCGATTTCCTGTAAAACTCCATAGGGTCCATAGAACCTTTCCCAAACCCTAGAAAAACATGTTTCAAGTCACTCAGGTACCCAAGTTAAGGTTATCAAGACCTTCGATACGGCCGGTATAGAAGCCATGGCAATTGCAATAGTGCTCAGTGGACTAGCGTGGTATAACTATGCATAGTTGCATTAAGAAACCCTACGGAGTAGTAGCAGAAATTATTCTAGCTTCTTTCATATAATTAGCTATGGGAAATCGGAGAGCTGACAAGTAGCTCTATAATCAAAGAGGTCAAAGAAGGAATTCCCACACAAAGGCTTTGCGAAGGTTTTGCCACAGTCGTTCAACAGTCGTACTTTACAAAGGCGTTAACAAGGGTGCATCAATGACCATTCAAAAAAACTGCTTTGGCCAGGTGAAGTTGAAAGCCGGGTCGACGGTTCTGCTGTGCAGTCTTTATCTAACTTCCAGCATCCGGCACCGAATGGTTGAGGGCTTTGGGGCTGCGGAGGTTTGCGGGTTTAGAGGTTTAGGCCTCCGGCTTTCAGGGTGTAGGGTGTTAGGGGCTAGGACTGTTACGGGCTTCAGGGGCCTAGTAGTGCAAGCATCCAACAGACACCGCAACAGCTCAACTAATGTAGGGGCCGGAACACTAAAACAGGATTTTTGGGTACGTCCTAGTATAGCTACAACTATCTACCTATCTATTTACCCATCTATCTATCTACCTATCTATTTACCCATCTATCTATCTTTCCATCTATGTCTCTTTCTCTGTCTCTCTCTCTCTCTCTCTCTCTAACTCTATGTGAGCCTGCCTGCCTGTTCTGTCGGTCTGTCTGTGTGCCTGTCTGTCTTTTCGTCCGTCCTCTGTTTGTCTGTCGATCTGTCGAACTGTCTGTCTATCGCCTGTCTGTCTATCTGCCTATCCGTCCGTATGTCAGCCTGCCTCCGCATGTGTCTGCCTGCCTGCCTGCCCGGCTTTCTGCTGTCGGTAATCTACAGAAAGATCTACACCTACATCTGTCCACATATACCCCTTATATGATATGACAGGGCAGGAATCAGATTACTGCCTATTTAGACTCCTAGGTTACGCCCAGGGACATCTGGAAAGCGATCCAAGCATCGTCGCACCAGTCGACCTGGGAAAAGTCGTGCTTCGGACAGGCCTTCGTCTTTCGTGCAGTAGGGTGCAGGGATGAGAGTCTAAGGCTGTAGAGTTCACGGTTTAAGGGTTTAAGGTTGCCAGGTGTTGGGCCCAGGTCCCAGAGGCCCTGGACCCTGCATATCAACTGTACATCGAGCAGGATGTTCGTCAACGATCCTTTCCAAGACAGCCCCATGCAACACTATTCCTACGGAGCCTCATCTATATAACGGTGACCACGACTTGAAACCCTTCAAAACTCCACAGCCTTTGCCCGACTTAGCGATTCCAAAGCACAGGCCCGGATCTTAGGTGTCTTCAAATTAAAACAGCTCGTCTGTCCCGGTCGATCAGAGTCAAAGGTCAGGGCTTGGGGTTTGGGCCTTGGGCTTTCGTGATTCCTGCCACTAGCACCCGTCTAGCAAGAGCTACAACTTAAACGCTTGCTTTTCACACCCCAACATCACTGCAATTAGGATCGTTTTAAGGATCTCGAACTTCGGGAGCTCCAGTTGCGTGCAGCGACGAAAGCCACCACTAGCAAGAGCCACACACACACACAAACCCCACACCCCAAGCCCCGAAAACCCTAAAACCAAAACGGAGGGGCAGGGCCTTGAAAGTGCCAGTCGGGCACTCGCCACCGAACTGCCCGGAGATCTGTGGCGGACGGCACTTCAGATTTTAAGCTTAGGGGTTGTGGGCTTGGGGATTAGAGTCCGGGTTTAGGGTTTGGAATGGGTTCGTGGCTTAAGTCTTGGGGTTTGGAGCCTGTTCCAATTATGCAAGCAGCTCCCAGCCCTGGACCACATGCGCCAACATAGAAACTCGGAAACTCAAACTGGGATCCTTGTTCTCAGGATCCCGAGAGAAGAGACGCCGATTCGAAGACTCAGTTGTAGTCACGGCCCGAGACATCAGAGCAGCATCCGGACATGTTGAGCCAGATGTGTGAAGGTTCGTGCACGGGGTGGGGTTCTGGGCTTCGGGCGTAGCTTTAAGGTTTTGCTTGCGGGCTTTCAGCATCAATAGCTGAGGGTTGAAATAAACCTCCCAAGCTTACCCCGACAACCCCAAGCCAACAAATCTAAAACCCTAAACTCTAAACCCCGGAAACCCCGAAACCCTAAACCCCTAAACCCAAATCCCTCACCCCGAAACCCTAAAGCCCCCGAATCCCCGAGACCTGGGGTACAGCGTTCAGTATGACTGATCTGGATTTCACCTTGGTTTAAGGGTTTAGAGTTCAAACACAGGTTTAAGGTTTAAGGGGTTAGGGTTTACAGACTTAGAGGTTTAACGCCTCAGGTCTTATTCTGTTTCAGGGTTAGGTGTAAGGCAGTAAGGGCGCAGGGCTCACATGTTTGTGGGTGTAGGGTTCAGGATCTAGGGTTCAGCTTAAAGCCTATGGCGAGGTTCAGTTCTGGCATGTGGTTCAGGCCTCAAAGACGTGAGGTTTGATCTTGCAAATCTAGTACGTTCCAACTTCAGAACTCCGGACTTGGACTCATGCTGCACAGCCACAAAGGTTTAGGGTTTAGGGCCCCCAATCGTAAACACTGCTTCCTTGGTTTGGGGGCTGCAACATCTCGCGTCACGGAACCTACACCAGGAAACACCCGCAAAAACTGTCAAATCCTGCCCGGCTGCCCAAAGAGAACCCGGAAACCTCAAACAATGAGCACTGCTTGAGCCCAAGCTCTCATCCGTGTTCATCAGGAGTCCCGGCAACCCCAGACCTAAACTTAGCGCCCTAATCCGGCCTTAAGCCCTACGCGAGAACCCCGAGACCCAACTCTAAAACTTTAAAGCAAAAGGAGAACTCTGAGACTTGCCTTGAAGATCGTGGGTATCAGGCCTTCCGTGCCAGACCTGCCGGCATGCAGCCCGCGACCAACGTGAAAAGGAACCTGATGCAAACCATCCCCACCCGACTAACCGGGGATAGAGCCTAAGCCTGAAACCCTACAGCCCTAAACCCTGCGTCCTTGTGGTTGAGCAGTGCTAAACCCGATGCGAAGCTCTCGGTACCGCAAGGCTTGTTTGAGGGTTTGCGGTTGACGGCTTGGGCTATGAGCCCTTTGCCGTACTGGCATGACCGCCGGAACGTTCACGGCTGCCACCGTCGTTCTCATTATCCGTCCCGTCTTGTCGCATGTGCGCCGCTCCTGGTCCCGGTAGTGAAGATGAGACGCTTTTGGTACGGGCATTCAACACCGACCTTCCAATGAGCATTAGATGCTCCTGCTCCTCCTGCTGCTGCTTCTTCTTCTTCGTCTACATTGTCCTGGGTTCACATCTGCATAGCTTTTGTTTGATGTCTTGGGCTCAGTGCTGGAGGTTTCGGCCTCAGTATCGCCATTGTGAGGCACACCAGAAGCACTGAATGCCAAGAAGTTCGACTGCAACAGTGCACCTGTATGGCTGCAGCAGACTCACGCCGCCACCAAACAAGTTCCTGAGTTTGCAGCACTTGGAATCCAGGGCTTAGCAACAAGAGATTTCGGGTGCAGGAGCTGAAGGCTTGCAGTGAGGGCATTGCAGAAATCGGTGAAACCCAGCAAGGCATCAAGTCGCAAGTGGGTTAAGGTCGCGGGCCCCAAAACTGTGAGCCCTGCAACGAGCATATTAAACCCTGAGTTCACCACTTTGGCAGTTGGGGCCCGCGAGAACTAGTCAAGTCTCAACTTCAGGCGCTGACATGGCACTCATTTTCCGGAGTCTTCAGGCATCTTAAGGACTCTGTGAAGGTGGGCTTGCCAAAGTCTCTGCTCGCCCATCAGGAATCATCAGAACTTCGTTTCTCTGTTACAGGCCTCGGAACGCCTCGTCGATAGCCTGCTGGAGGCCCCGTAAATCAACACGCATGTAATCTGAAAGCGCGTGGCCCGCGTCAGCCACCATCACGTGGAAGTACCTCAGCCACGTTGACCCTCCGTGCATTCCCTAGTACGTTGCGACCCGAGGAATTTCC